TGACTTGTGATTTGGGGGAACCTTCTGCTTGTCGACATCACAACTTGCGACACGTCTGTCTGGCAGCCGGATGTGGCCGTAAATGCGTAAACGTTATGTGAGATTGAGTCGCTGGCCGCTTGATTAAATGTTTGGTCAATAGCAGTTTACGGCACCTGCGACTTAGCAGACAGAGGAGGTCAAGAACGTGATGGTTTGCGAGCTTGCCGCCGGTGATAATTCTGCATCTTATTTTAGCTGTCTCCAAGACGTTATCTCGAAAACAAAAATGATCCCTTGATTAAAAATGTTAAGCGCACACTCATACTGCGTGACCACTTGTCGATAGTCTTCATTATGTCAATTCTTATTTACCTGCAATATTTTCTACTTATTACCGCATGGAGAGCGCTGAGGAACCCACTGATGAGCCCGAACCCGTTGGAGATGCAACAGACAGTTTTTCAAGCAATTAGTAGTGTAGAGCGTACGGTATAACATCTATTTTATTTTATTTAATTTCCTCAACTGTGGCAAGTCTATGGCAGACTTGGCACTTTGTGAAAAATTAAGGTTAGTCTAAGACACTTAATGCATGCCCGTCTGGTCTATCAAATTCAAATATATATAAAAATTAGGTTTAGTGGTCTCCTCAGAATCCACTTACGGTACCCCTAGGAATTCTATTTCTAAGACCTTTAAAGGTTGACTTTAATTACAGAAAAAATGTGTCATCAAATCCCACCAATCAAAATCTAATACTTCAACTCCACACCTCAACTGTTCTGCAGCACTTACCAAACTTCAAGAACATCCGTTTAACTGGAATATTGACCTACATTTACGCTCGTAATTAGTCGTACGTGTAGATGCCACAAAAGGACTTCTATAGCTTATTTAGAAAAAATTCTGTTCCTTTGCGTCACTAAGATATTTTAATCCCAATTTTCGAAAATTTCTGGATGGCAATAAAGCTGGTCTTCAACCCTAGATAACCCTTGTCTCAGTATTCTGCCTTGCAGAATCGGTGGTATTATTATTATAAAGCGTGTTTTAGTTTTAGTGTTGCTTTGTTAATTTTGTCAGTTTGAGTTTAGTTTAGTAAGTTAAGTACATCGTAATTATTTAGGTATCATTATACAAGTAGACTAAAATCTTTACTTCACTGAAACTAAAAGCAACCTGTTAAACTTAATACTAAACTTAAGACTAAATTAAGCCAAAGCTAAAGTAAAACTAATGCAAGTAGCAGTAACCATAGAACTATGGGATAGGGTTGTCTTTAGGTGGTAGACCAGATATTACTATTTCCGTGAGCGAACAGCGCATCCTGTAGTTCTCCAAATAGCATTTCATCGCACATTCATGCTATGCACTTTAACAAATATGTCAAAGCGCATGCTTTTTAGATAAGTTGAAAGAACGCCTTAAATCCAAGTGGCGACAAAAAACTGAAAGTTCGCATAATCTGAAGGAATGATACACTGACAAACATGTTTACGACTGCACACGACGGCTTTGTATGTGCACCATTCTGACCATTGCTTTTTGCATAAACGAGCAGAAAGTTTAAAATGATAAAAACGAAGAAAATCAGAGCTTCTAGTGACCCAAATCTGAGCGCATATTGCGAACACTGTGGCGACTCCCGCATTCTTACTTTTCAGACAGCGCTAGATCAACCTCAAAGAAATATTGTGGGTAATTCATGTCGACATCCAGTGTCCCATTTTTCCTTTTATTTTCTTAACTCTATCTTTACAACTAGCTTGGTTGGATTAAAAAATAAGGCGCGCGGTAGATGCAACGCATGTTTTTCTTTCATTTTAAACTATTCCACAGGTAAGTTACGTCTCCTCAGTAGCACAATGCGGAGCACCCGTTGGCTGTCGTCTGATCAATGGTCGAACTGGCGTACTTGGCAGTGTACGC